TAAAGTGCACACGAGCCAAATGCGTACACTGGGCCTACGGTTTAAAGTCCTTATCCGAGAAGACTTGTTCCACCACCGGAACCATTGGCGAGTGAGCCGTTCGAACCAACGCCGATACTAGAGCTATAGGTCACGGTGCCCCTGACTTAACTGCTCGGCCAATCAACTCGCCTTGATACTTTTGACGTGTAAGTTTTGCTTCCTTATTGTTTTCAAGTACAGTACCTGGTTTAATCATATTGTGTAATTTAAAAGATATAGTGTATGAAATTGTATAATCCTGTTGTCTCTAATTGAAATGAAACAAAGTAGGCCTACCTAAACCTAGGGCCTAGGCCTATTTCCAGTCGGGTCCAGACGGATTTTTGGGTGGGGGGGGGGGCAAAGAAAAAAATTACACCCAAAGTGTTTAAGTCTTCTTTTCCTACCAAAAACACCACAGGAGAGTGCTATTCATAAATCCACTTGGTGGTGAGAAATAGAACACTTACTCAATGTTAATATACAGTAGTGGATTTTGTTGTTTGACGACTTTTTTAACGGATTTTGGATATTAGTTTTCCCTTTTCCTGATTTTGTGATTTTTAAGTTCAATGTTGCTGAGAAACTTCATCATGTTTTCAAGAAGTGAAATTTCTCTTTGAAATGGTGTACATTCATGAGCCTTTGCACGTTGTCAAAGATTATGTTGTGAGTAGATGAATTATTACTAATTTAATGACACATGTCATAGTTGCATATTGCATATTAAAATTTCTTTTAAAAGACATACACCTATTTTTTTTATTTATTTGTTACTGAAAACTACCATGCTAGATAGTCAAAATCGACTCAATACAATCTCATATTCCTCAAATATGCTGGGCTTCAACCCCCACCAGGGGCTCTGCCCGTGTACCCCGCCGGGGGCCTTCGGCGGCCCCTGGCCCCCAGCCTAAGGCTGCTCGTTTCGCTGGCAGATTACACCCCTCCATCTTTTTTCTGGTAGGCTGCATCCGCCAATGCCCTCAGTGCTTCGTACCTTGGCTGGTCGTCCATCTTTACTTTGGCGCTGCCCCCCCCCCCACTTTTTGCTAAATCCTGTATCCGCCCATGACAATTTCATCAGGGCCAGGGGAGATAGACCTAAATGTGATACTGCAATGATAAAATATTAATATACATTATGAAAACAAATGGAAATAAAAAAATCAGAAAACTGAACATACTAAAAGTGTCGACTTTGTCTTTTTCATTTACTGTTATCATCTATACTAACACGGCTACCTTATCAACTTCATCATGATAACAGTACATGTATATTTACATCACATTCTTAAATTTTCATTATTACCATGGTCGGTTACTTGCGTCAAACTAATTGATGTTTTAAATTGAATATAGGTGTGGCAATATTTTCCCGTAGTGATTGCCTTGTAATACCCAACACATGAGCTCGCGGTTTGTAGGATCCTTGTCTTAATAAATGTTCTCGCAAAATTGAAGCTATTTCAGAAACCCTAACAAAAATTGGTTATATTGTAGATAAATTTAAGTGACAGTGCTGTAAGGAAGCTAATTTAAATTAAAATATAGTGCCATATGACTTACAAATCATTGGTCTATGAAATTACTTGCGCGGATCCGGATAAATAGACAGAGTTCACAATCCTTCGAAGGATTAATATTTTTCTTAATTTATTGTGATTTAAAGTGTCGTACCACTATAACATTCCAATTTTCTCACCTCGCCTTTCTTGGAGGTGTAATTTAAGCTTACTCTAAATCTAAACTATCCGAGTTTCACTATTAAATTCATCCAGTACCATTCATGTGTTTTTCCCACAAGAATTGTAAATTAACAAAAATTGAGACCCCCCCAAAAAAAAAAATTCAACTCAAATTTAATTGCCATAATCATAAATGTTCATACCTCAGCCCCCAACCATGGTGGGGCTGAGGTAGATCTGTCAAAGTCCTTGAGTATGCTCTCAAAAACGCTGTGTGTCCATACCAGGGGTGGCGCCAGAGCCGAGGTTCCCCCATGCCCTAACGAGGGGTCAGATTTCCCCGACGATAGCAAAGTGGGCGTGGTCGAGCTTCGATTAAAAGGTTTCGAAAGTGGTCCATGGAAAGTGGAAATTTTGACAATTTAAGGGTTTCAAATATCTTATTTAGTCGATTTTATAGTCTACTAATATGTAGGAAATATATATAATTTTGTTTCCTCCCCGACGAATTGTGCTTTTTCTCCCCGACGGGGGTGGGGGGCAGCTCTCCCCGACGGGGGCCCTGGTCCCTGCTCCCCACCCCCGGCTGGCACCACCCGTGGTCCATACTCGACGTGAATATCAATAATTTGAACGACATCGTTAAAATACAATCATATGGAAACCAACCATCCAATTACGTATTACCTGTATGCGATCGCTATCTGTATGTGTTAAACAGGAAATGGAATGGTAGGCTCACGTGATCTCTGGGAAATTCCAGAAAACGTGTGACGTATGTATGTTTGTTAGCTTTTTATCGTTTTGTTTGTATTGGTTTTTTTTCCGGAAAAATATATTGATTTTTAAACATAAGAGTCTGTAAATACGGTAGGCCTTGTTTATGCGTTTGTTTGTGAAACTATTAATTATTCATTTAAATACATTTATTTTCTTCCAATTGTAGTAAAAAAAAATCATTATTAACAATCGGTTTATGAGAAAAAATGAAAAAGAAGGCGGCACTTGCCCGAGATTAAAAAATAATCTTTTGTTTGAGCATGCCTGAACACAAACTCACAGCACACAGAGACCCAAACAAACAAACAAACACACAACACATACACACGCAAACATGAGACAACAGGTAGGCCTATAGGCTACTTGTCATTTCCTAATTTTTTATATGAAATAAAATATCTAAATATAGGCCTAATTGAAGCAATTATATTTTCTGATCATTTAATCTCTTTTCGATTCCTATTTTCTTTCTTTTTTTAATGAATTTGATCGTTCATTTCTTTGTATACTTTACAACCGTATATTAATCCTTCTATAGGCCTAGTATACTGTATATATAACACTGTTAAATTATATATAAGTCATCAACGTTGAGAGCTATGCAACACGATCATTGTGTCCTTTAATATCAAATGTGGTTTTCTTCGCTCGTGTGATTGTGTGTTTCCTACCTAGCAGGCGGCCTGAGGCAGTATTCGGAGCCTGCTCGTGACTGACGCGTGCGTCTTAAATCTGTGGTGGTGGACCTTTCCTATCATTCGACACCTGTTATAGGCCTACACTTACACTTTTGGAGTCCGTAAGGTTCGGCTTTACCCACCACAACCAGAATGCCATTGAATAATGTACTGGGAGGACGTTCCTAGTATTAAGTTCCAGTGGCCCCGAGAGGCCGGGGAAAGTGCGAAAATTGAGGGGGGAAAAGAAAATTCTACTCAAGTTTAAGTGTCATTTCCGGCCGTCCAGAGGTGCCATAATCATAAATTTTCTTACCTCAGCCCCATCTATGGTGGAGCTGAGGTAGATACGCCGTCCTTCTGTGAAAGTCCTTCTCTCTTTGCCCCCTCTATTTAAAATTCCGGGGCCCGCAGCCGCTCTTGGCGGCCCAGTGTTAAGTTCCTTTATCCTTAAAACTTCTGTCCCTCCAATTGGCATTAGAGTATATGTTATGGTGTATTGCAAAAATATTTGTATCAGTAAATTTGTCTGGCATCAAAGTTAATAAATTGAATCTTACCAAGGAACCGGAGAACTGAAGTATGCCCTCAAAAACGCTGTGTGTCCACGGTCGACGTGAATATCAGTAATTAAATCGACATCGTTAAAATACAATCATATGGAAACCAATCATCTAATTACGTATTACCTGTAGGCCTATGTGTTATACAGGAAATGCAAAGGTGAGCTCACTTTATCTCTGGGAAATCCCAGAAAACGTTTGACGTATGTATGTTTGTTAGCCTTTGTATTGTTTGTTTTCGGAAAAATATATTGATTTTTAAAGGTAAGAGTCTATGTAAAAACGGTAGGCCTTCTATATATGCGCGTCTATTTGTGAAGCTATTCAAAAGATATTTATTTTCTTCCAATTGCAGTCAAATAGTAAAAAACAAAAAACCATTATTAACAATGAGTTTATGAGAAAAAAATGAAAAGGAGGAAGGCACTTGCCCGAGAAGATTTTAAAAAAAATCTTGTGTAGGGCATGCCTAAACACAAACTTACAGCACACAGACCCAAACAACAAACCAACACACAACACATACACACGCAAACATGACAAACTTACAGCACACAGACCCAAACAACAAACCAACACACAACACATACACACGCAAACATGACAGCAGGTAGGCCTAATTTTTTATATGAAATAAAATATCTAAATATAGGCCTAATTGAAACAATTATATTTTCTGATCATAATATTGTAGTTTATCATTTATTCTCTTTTCGATTCGTATTTTGTTCTTTTTTTTTCTTTTTAATGAATTTGATAGTTCATCTCTTTTTATACTTTACAACCGTATATTAATTTTTCTATAGGCCTAGTATTCAAAAAGTTTTTATGAGATTTTTGTGATGGTGTAGCCTTTGAATAATGTCATATGCCAGCTAAATAGCAGGTGTACACGTTAGCAGTACTAGAAAAGACACATATTACATTTTATAGGCCTTAGCCTATTCTTTATTTTAACGAATTTTCTGGCGCACAGTCATCAAATGGAGACCATAACGCAGCTAATGTATCGGCCATAGGCACCAACGACAATTGGTATACAGTCGTCGAGTCGACCAAATGCTCACTGAGCGCGGAAGGCTTTGGCACGATCCGAAGGCTAACGCAATGTGCTCTGGGCTTCAATTTGTACTGTAATTACTCCCCTGATGACGATTCGCAACAGAAAAAAAAATTCTTTTCATCTACGTGGTGTACTGCAAGCATTTATTAATCAATTATTAACCTCTTTCATTCATTCATTATTTAGCCTTTCATAAAAATCACCATAAAACTGGTATAATCAATACTGTACTATTTATCTGTTCAAATTAGCATCATGTGATCATATCATATATGTGCATATGAGCCTGGTTTCCATTAAATCGTTACACTATCGCCGGCAGATTGTCGGCGGCACTGATTGGTCGGTCGAATCGAGGACTCTTCCCGATTGCGTCGGAGCAGCTAGGCAGTGTAACGATTGCAGTGAAAACACTGTAGCGATTTCATGAAAACTGGGCTTAAAGAAATTTATAACGGAGCTGTAAAATAGACCTAGGCCCTACTTTTAGTTTTGGCTAAAGTAAGGCTTAATAAAAAAAATGTAAATGTCATGTCAATAAAATAACGACACATGTTGCACCACCAATAGATATTCATTTTTAAGCGAAAACACAAAATAACATTTAAATTATAAACATACCATGCTATGCATATTACATCAATAATATATATATATATATATACCTGTCGCTGATACACATCTATATTATTATTATTATTATTATTATTATCATCATTATTTTTATATGGGATGCATGATTTATTTATTATAGTAGATTAACATAGACCGAACAACAAAAGTGAAATTAAATCGTAAAGTCAAAGTAATGTAGCTTGTGACACCTCAAAAAGACCATATTATTTAAAAGTCCAAATTAACTATATAATCTTCGGGTTCCATAATGGAAATTGACATCACCAACGCATGTAAAACCATCTCCTAACACTTAAACTTCACTATGAAGTTCATGACCACTGATGATGTCCTGAAACTTGTTGATTATTGTAATTCCATACTATACACAATACAACTATAACAATACTTTGACATTGCCACGTATCTGATTTCTTGTACTCCACGTACACGTACACATTTAATTTGACAATTAAATGTGTTGTCCGTGTTGGTTAAGCGCTTTAAAACGATTTTTCATTGTGCTATGTACTGTATATCGATTACTACCATTTACTAAAATAATCATACAGGGCGCTAATTTAATGAAGAAATTTTTTGTTTGTTTTTTTTTGTATGACAGACAACTTATGATTCTTTTTTTAATAGAGTCTATGCTTTATAAGTGCAACATGACATTTTTGTATGTACACTCACTTGTGCTAAATGTGTCTTTCACACGGGACAGATGAAATTAAAACCTGTTTCATCACAAGTAGAGGTGAAGAGGTATATATATTGGTGTTGTTTTTTATTTTTTTTTACCGAGTACCAAGGATTTATACCGAAATTTAAAAAATGCTCAGATTGATCATTACTGAACCAAAATTAATGAAGACATGATTTAAAATTTTAGGCCTATATATAAAATTCAATTTTGAATTGGCGCTATTTGGTAATATCCGATGTCTAGAACATGTTTCCGTAGTTTTCTAGATTAGTCTGCTCCGACCAGGCAGCGTATGACGCACCGTCCATCTCACTTGCCAGTTGGTTGTCACTACGAAGGCGGTGTTGTGTACCTCCAATAGTAGACCCGCATTCTGGACATTTACTCTCCACCGTTGCGCCACCACAGTCACCAATTGCATATATATGACCTTTTGGACACTTGAACCAATGACCTTGGGATAGACCCATAGCCTGTACAATCTGCACTCGTTCTGTATCTGATATCCCTGGAACAACCCCACATTCTTCGCTGATTTTTTTCAAGCAAAATATAATGGTTTTTACGTTTTGTTCTTTGAGAGGACCGATTGAAGTAACGTGTTTCTTTACAAAGTGTGTGTAATCTGCTAATTTTTCTGAGCTAATTTTTCTAATACGCAATTCACTTTTAAGCACGTACAGTTCCATATAGAATGAAAGACGTTGCAGTTCTGACGCTATATCGTCTAGCATTTGTTCACTAAAGTGATTTCTTGGTTTGAGAATCAATTCCTTGCAAGTATCTAGTTCCTTCTTTATACGTTTTTCAATAACTGCATATCTTGAATTAATTTTTCCATCCCCTGCTTTTTTAATCTCTTCCACTTTTGAAACAAACTGCAATTTGTTTTTCATGTCAACAACCTGCTCTGCTGTCAATAATGTACTTAGTTCACTGAGAAGAAATGTTCCGCACTCTTTATCAGACAAACGTTGAATTTCTCTTTGTAAACGAAGTTTATCAAGACGTATTTTATGCTCATCTCCAAGTATCTTGGATTTCACACTCTCTATGTCCATCTGTAGCTGTTTTATTATATTACCATATCGTAGATTCCTTCTAATCGGTGTTTTACATACTGGACAAACTTTCGACTGCACATTTGTACTTCCGTCATCTTCCAGATCCACCCAAGCATCCAATGCCGTTGATTCTATCACATGTCCACAGTCTTCTAATTGAATAAATCTTGCGTTTGGTTCATCTTCACTTCCAAACATTATTGTTGTCAATTCGATATTATCGCAAATCAAGCATTTCCTTGGGCACAGCTCACCACAAAGACCAGCACATTGATGACCACAAGAGAGAGTCTTTTTGCAAGGCTTGTCACATCGTCGTCGGTTACATAGTTGACCACACTGCATGGTACATTGTTTATGCTGACACCGCCACTCGCATGGCATTGTACAAGGTGTGCATTTTTCCCCACATTTCTTTGGACACTTGCTGTGAACGCAGCGGTTCTCACACGATTTTCTGCACGGTGGGCAGTTGCGTGTACACGGTTCAAGACATCCATGACCACAAACTAAAGTTCTATCACACTTCGAACAACACTGTTGATGTAGACGGCCATTCTTACAACCTCCACAGGTTCCTTGACACGGGTGGCCACATTTCAAAATGGCACCGCATGGATTTGAACAGGACATAGGATCATCCACGTGGCACTGATACTCGCCCTTATGTCCACAAGGCCACAGCTTAGAAACAATCTCTCTGCACGTACTGGTGCATGGTTGGCTACATTTTCCTTTACAAGCATGTCCACATTGCAAAATTTTTATGCAATCCGAAATGCACGTTACTGTACTTATTTCTTTGAAGCAGGGTACTATCTGAGCATGTCCGCACATCAGAAACTTTTCCACCGAAACTGTGCATTTTAGTTCGCATTTTTGATAGCAGCGAAACCTACATGGATGACCGATAGGACAATGCACCTTGGTACATGGCCTCGAACATTTGACATTTTTGTGTTCAGGATCGTATGGGTGGCATGGCAACGTACAAACATGACCGCAATCAAGTCTATAAGTGCATGGTTTACTGCAACCTCCCTCTGGACACTTCGTAAAATCATTTGGCTGCTGTACATCCACTGCTGTACCTGGGTGGTTTTGACAACACAGTCGAATAGTTTTGCTGAGTAGATTTTTCTGACGAAGGTCTGTTACAATTTTCCTCCACTGGTCGTCCTGAGTTAGAAGCTTTATATTACCGATGCAAAATAGTCCTTTCTTTGCTCTTGATAGTGCCACGCACATTCTATTCTTCTCTTTCAGAAATCCAATTTTACCCTCGTCATTGCTTCTTACCAGAGAAAGAAGAATGATCTCATTTTCCTCGCCTTGAAAATTATCAACTGCGCAAACGCGAACTCCTTTAAAGAAATTAGATTTCATTTGTTTTTTGAACTGAAAAAGTTGACCCGTGTAGGTTGTAAGAATCGTAATTTCTGATGGTTTGTAGCCTTGCTGGATCATGTACTTACACAAGCCTACTAAAAACTCTGCTTCGTATACATTGGATTTGCTCAGCGTATCGTTGTCGGATGCTTCTTTGTGATCATGATCTATAAATAGCATATTATTTGCGACTCCTTTGACAGTTTCATAATTGTGTACACTAGGTGCATCTTGAAGACCTTTGTAGAAATGATTCTTCATAAGAGATGATATCTCTGGTCGCATTCTATGCTGAGTGTTTAGCCTCTCGCAGTGCATGCCATTTTCTACCATTCTTTCGAAAAGTGAAATTTCCAACTTATACCGTTTGGCAAGATCGTATACAGTCGGATTTGGTCTAAGTTGTTGATGATCACCAATTAGTATTAAATGTTCACAACCTTCGGTCAAACTGGACACTATGTGAGCCTCTAGTACTTCTGCTGCTTCTTCAACAATGACAATCTTTGACTTGATTCTTTGAATCATATCTCGGCATCTCGCTGCTCCAGTTGTTGTCATACCAATCACTTTAGCATTTCGCATTAGAAGGAGATCCTCTTCTAATCTGAGTTCCTGAAGTTGTTTTCCTATTGTATTGTATTCTTCCTGCTTTTCGAATAGTAACTGTCGTTCGTGATCACAATACCGGGATGTCCAAAATCGATATAGACGCCAACGATCATTACCTTTTAGACTCCATACGTTTTGCACTCTAGCAGCTTCAACATTGCTCATTTTGTCCGTTTTTTGAAGCTCCAATTTAAAGTTTCGCATTCTTTTTTTTCTTCCTTGTTTAGGCAATTGGAAACCGTCCTTGTCTTTAAATCGTCCCATTTGTTCCGGATCAAAGGCAAGTTGTTTTCTAACAGTGTTCTTAATTTTATCTTTCTCTCTCGTACTTCGCATCGCCGATAGGCCTGTGCCCTCATCTGCATCATCGATATTAAGTAACCGTTGCTCTGCAATCAAATCCGACTCCTCGGCCACTTCCAGTTGTTCGTCGTCTTCATTTTCCTCTTCTTCATTCTCCTTTTCATCGTTGATTTCAATAAAACCGAAATAAGTATCGATATCTATGTTGCTATCTCCCCCATCCAAATTTAACCAAGACATCATTGACTGCTCTCTTCCATCTGTCAAAGATGTGTAATGTTTGTCTAGCATCCATGTCTCAAGGAAGAGTTCATCGATTACTCCGGTTGTTGTCAGTTTGATCTTTTCCATGGCATGTTCCATAACATCTCGTAGGGTATTTCGTTTTTGAAGAAGCTCTCTCTTCATGTCGAGTATGTGTCTTGGTACTTCTTTCCGCTCCCGTGATTCCTGTCGAAGGTTTGTTATGTTAAATTTCTTCAAAGTCTCACTACTACTTCTCCCACCAACACGCACGATACTATCACGTTGAAATGAATAAATCCCTTCAAGAAACTGGTCTAGGGCATGATTCGTATAGCAGACAACGAATATAGGACTCTCTTTCACCTCAGCACGCACACCATCAATGGTCCAGCATTCCCTATTATGAAGTAGCGCATGCACTATTTTCAAACCAACGTAGGTTTTACCAGTTCCAGGAGGTCCTTGGATTACTGCAAACTCTTTGGTCAATGCAGTTTTTAATGCGTTGAACTGAGAATCATCTAGTTGAAGAGAGTGAGCGGATGGCCATGTATTTCCTGCTATCTTGACAAGCATACGTTTCGGAGTATCTTTATCAATTAAAGGTGCAAGGTCATATGTCATATTCCTGTTGTAGCGTAAATAATATGGCGCATTGACTTCATGGTTGGCCTCAATTATGTACTTCCTCATAGGCATGTTCTGTTCTGTAATCAACTGAAGACTCAGAAGCACGTGACGGTAAGCCTCAAAGAATGAAGATGTTTCAACCATGGTGAACTTTTCGTTTCTTGTGTTTTCTAATTCGCCTTCTATTTCAAATTTTAACTCTAAGAACCCATTCTCAAGATCTTTTGGTTCACGATTCGCAACAGTAGCAAAGCAAACTGTCTGGAAATCATCTGTAGACAGACATACCAATGACCCGTATATGAGGCGCTTTGTAGATTGCCAACGAACTCCCTTCAGTCGAGAGACATCGAAGCGAACTTTGTATATTACACAATCATGTGAACATATCGGGTACTCAACAGTGACGTCATTATATACGCGTATGTCGGTTATTCGTCTATGTCGGTCATGTTTGTACTTTAGGTACTCTTTGATGCCTTCACGGAGTGGTCTTACCATGTCTTCACGAAGTAAGCGAAACTGAACGTCTAGATAATGATCTGCATTATCATAACTTCCATCTAATTTATTTCTTCGTAAAAATGGAATGGTGTCCGTTGTCAGGTCTTCCAACGTCGGAAATATTGGAATGTCCCGGAAATTATTTGGTGGTGGGTTGTCGTCATCTATGTTATTAATCTTCCTTCTTGTAGCAGGTTTGTCCTTTTCACCTTGAGTTTTTTCCACTTCTTTTACAAACTCTATTAATTCATCAAAACGTGATCGGATGTTGCTATCGTAGATTAACCCTACTTCATATAACTCTTCCATAGTTAGTTCTAACAACATCAGTGATGCTTTTACCTCTCGTGTGGCACTTGGGAGACGTTCGACAAGCATTCTAATTACAGTGATGATGTCCTGGATTTCTACTTCGTGTCTCACTCTAGGACCTCTTTCATTTTTCAATGCCAAAATATGCTGATGCATATGATACTTAATAAACATAGAATTTTGAACTTTACTTAAGAGGGCATTTAAGGAAACTGTAGACGTAGTACATTGACAAGCATGAATAAGTACGCGACATATCAATGTGCGAAGATCTCGGCGTATTTCGGGCTCGTTAAGTAATTTTTCAAAACCAAAATATGTAGATGACAACTGTATTAGTGCCTCAGCCTGGTCTTTACTAAGAACCTCTTCTAACCGTTTATAACCTTGAAGATAAAAAAAAAAAACAAGTTCACATCGGTTATACATGAAACTGAGTTAGCCTATGCATAATAACCATAGATTTGATAGAAAATATACGATTGATTATATATACAATATATATATATATATATATATGTATATATATATATATATATTTATTTATTTATTAAAAATTCGTCACGATATAGATAAATACATATTGACCAGATGCGTGACTAGAGATGATATGTTCTAAAGGCCAACACAGCTAGTGGTCATCTCTAAACCCCTGGTCAACAACCATAAGATATATGATATATAAAACATTTAAAATATACAAAAAATACAGAAAAAATTTAAACATATATATACATATACATATACATATATATATATATATATATTCTCGAACAATCGGTATACAACAACCTTCATTAGACATTCTCTGTATAATCAACCTATTATCAATAAGGCAACGTCCATTATCAGTGACCCTTTTCATCCCGGTAATTCTCATTTTTGCCTCATGCCATCTGGTCAACGTTACAAAACCCCATACGCATCTCGTACAAGATCTAGAGCTTCATTCTTTCCGTCTGCCATCAAAGCTATAAATGCGTGGTTGGTATCCAGAAATTAAATGTTTGTCTCACTGTATAGTTGTTACTCATGTTATTTAAATTATTTATATTGCGTTCATCGAGCCGATACTATTTCATTGTATACATCTAGATGTGTATAAGAGACAGCTAAGAACCCATTCTCAAGATCTTTTGGTTCACGATTCGCAACAGTAGCAAAGCAAACTGTCTGGAAATCATCTGTAGACAGACATACCAATGACCCGTATATGAGGCGCTTTGTAGATTGCCAACGAACTCCCTTCAGTCGAGAGACATCGAAGCGAACTTTGTATATTACACAATCATGTGAACATATCGGGTACTCAACAGTGACGTCATTATATACGCGTATGTCAGTTATTCGTCTATGCCTATCGTGTTTGTGCTGTAGGTACTCTATGATGCCTTCACGGAGCGGTCTTATCATGTCTTCTCGAAGCAAACGAAACTGAACGTCTAGATAATGATCCGCATTATCATAACTTCCATCTAATTTATTCTTTCGTAAGAATGGAATTTTGTCCATGGTCAGATCCTCCAAAGTCGGAAATATCGGAATGTCCCGGAAATTATTTGGTGGTGGGATGTCGTCATCTATGTTATTAATCTTTCTTCTTGTAGCAGGTTTGACCTTTTCACCTTGAGTTTTTTCCACTTCTTTTACAAACTCTTTTAATTCGTCAAAACGTGATCGAATGTTCCTATCGTAGATCAACCCTACTTCATATAATTCTTCCATAGTTAATTCTAACAACATAAGGGATGCTTTCACCTCACCTGTTGCACCTGTCTCTTATACACATCTAGATGTGTATAAGAGACAGTTTCCTATACTTCGTGCCCAACGTACAGGGCGCCCTTCTGTTGCTAAGTATATCCAGACGCAAAAGGCGCCCTTCCTTTTCCACTAATGAAGGAAAACTTTTTCACTAAGAGTGCGTCCGGCCATGCGATTCTGCCCTGTATTGTTGTTTTATTCTTTACTGATTCATGATTATGCTTTAATTGTTTTGTGTATTATTCGGATAATAGCAACGATTTCTACCGCCACCAAGGAGGTTATGTATTCACCGATGTCACTGTCTGGGTGTCTATTCCAGTTTGTTTTTATATCTAGTATCTTTGTTGAGAATTGATAATAAAATACGCGA